CCCCCTCCCCCTCCCCCACCCCCGTCATAGCTTCTGAAATTGTGTGTATCACATTTTTATTGACGAAAGATAGTTGTGAAAACTCCCCAATCGGGAGAAATTTAAAATGATTTGAACGAAAGAACAACTGTGCTACACCATTGTAGAGGATATAACTGCACGAATATCCCCACCGAGTACGACATTTTTATAGAGCGCATTAAAAAGTTAACTCCGGTAATTGTCGAGGGAAAGCCAGTGTATTAGGTAAAAAGGTCCTAGGCCAAAAAATCAAATAACGATGGGGGATAAGTGATGGAAGCCCTGCATAAAGGCTAAAACGAGTTGCCAAATAATACTAAAACGGGCATTAAGAGCAATCATTGTGTATGCAACAGTGCCCCAGAATTGATAGGCATATTTTTTGGTAATTTGTCCGTTTCCACCGTTTCCACCTTTCAAGCCCTCAACTTTTGGTACATTGAAGCCAGAACTCAGAGAGGGTCTAAAATTGGTGCCTAGGCATTTCAGATTTTGTGATTAGGAAGTTAACGATGTGGATATTCTCGTTAGAAAGTGTTGTGCCGCAAAGGTGTACTCCTAGAAGAGATTTTTCACAGCCTTTTTGAAGAGAACCATTGTTTAGCACACTAAACTGCAACAAAAGAACATAAGCACACCTCGTTTAGGTGAATTTAAACATGTTTAGCGAGTGCATTGTTGAAACAAGGAGAAAAAGAGAGAGAAAAGATCAAAATAGGTTCAATGAACCGACGGGGTGGTGCAAACGCGAGGTGAAATCAACGAGCGGACTTTGAAACCTAGGTGTACTAAAGTTCTTGAATTGTGGCATTTGTATAGGAGAGCAAGTAAACAATTTTCATGCACTAAAGCGAAATGTTAACAAAAATAATATTAATTGAAGCTATTCCTCATTCAGTTGTCCCCTTCATAATTCCAATCGATAAATGTCCTTCGATGACATCTGTGACGTTAAGACACCTGGATTCTGGACGTCTCTCACCTGGCCATGAAAAGGCATTTACATTTAATCCCATGCCATGATAGGTGGTACTGTGTTAGAAAACTGGGGCAGACACAACTCCACAATCGGCGCAAATTGAAGACAAATGTTGACTTATATTTGCCGAAATCCAACGCACTCAGATGACTGGTATTATTTTTAAAAATTGAACGAGAGAGAGAGAGAGTGAACGGGAATGTCATGGTCAGTGGTGTGAAGTAAACAAGTATGACTTAAAAACCTGAATGTTTATGTGGTAAGAGGACGTAATGCGCGTTAAAACACCACTTGAGTAACCCCTGGCGCCTCCAAAAATGCAAGTAGGCATTAAAGAGACTATGGAAGAAAATTCACACTGGTAAAGAGGCAGTGCGCACATTGTGACACACACACACACACGCTAACAAATAAGAGACAAGAAGAAAGAGGGTGAGATAAGAGATGAAAAACAAATCGAAGGCGAGTGACAGGAGAGGGAGAGAGAGAGCGCGAGTTTTGAAGAGGGAATGAAATTGGTGGAAGTGTCAGCTCCTAATGGATATAATGTGTCGAGGCGTTAACAATACGTGCCTTCGATGCACAAGTCCAAGAGACAAAAACAGCCACACCCTAAATGCAAATGGCTAATGGTAATCACACGAACACACACACACATAAGGATTTCCCACGTTTCTTTTTGTGGAATTGGTCGTTAATGCGTGGAGATCTCTTTCTACGCTGATTTTGCTGCATTGAAAGGCGAATGGAAGAATTAGCATAATGACGTCATTCAATCCGCATAGATGTGACATACAGAGAGACGGAGGAGGAGGCGAGATGATTATAGAAAGTGGGATTGTCAGGAAAAGTATGAAAATTTGGCTTCAAGAAAAACCCTGTCGCACTAAGTATCCAATTAGTACAGGTAAGGGAAAAAGATTATAGACTAACAAATCAAATGGCATACATAAAATAAACATAGAAAAAAATTCTTTGAATAGTTCTTGATTACAAAAACTGTCAGGTAGGAGTCTCAAGAACAATTTAAAGTTGTCTTCGTCGTCTTCTTCTTCGTCCAAAGGAATAAAGTAAAAGTGAGCAAAAACGTTGCAGCAGTTGTTTGGAGGGTGAGAGACACCAACGGGCAAACAAATGAGCAAATCGAAAGTGGACTCTGAATAGCAAAAAGAGATCACAAACGAACCATGGAAAAAGAACTCACGTGCCAAATCAGAGTATAGAAATTCAATCGTCATGGATTTAATAGAGTAGTAGGCGGTAGAACAGGAGGACACCGCATACATCTAACTATGGATGCCGAAAGGTGACGATGAATTCTCCAAAATTACTCTTTTGTCAAATTCTGCATAAAGGTGTGTTCTTTTGACGAAAACCCTAGGCTGCCATGCCTAAATGGTCTTATCGATTACGCTTTTGTCTAAAAATGGGCCATTTCATTTAAAAGTGCATAAGCACTCATATGCTTGCGTGTGGCCGTCACTACAGCCACGGAGACACGTTTGTCATTTACCGGCTTCCTAATTTCCCTCACCCACCTCCCCTACACCGATAAGACATTGGACAGTGGGGTCGGTGAAGTTGTGATCACATCAAATGATACGAGTCTCTAATCTATTGGGGGGAGGGGGGTCTAAGATGCTATTACTTTGTCTAATACGCCTACTGAGAGATTTATATGCAAGCAAGCCAGAGGATTCCAGGGTTTATCTTCCACGAGATATAGTGCAAATTCAAAAAAGAAAAGAAACCTGAAGATTGCTGGTGACAAACCGAGAGAGGGGGAACAAAAAACGAGAGGCCTACTTTAAATTCATTACATTAACAAAGAGCCCTAGAGGGAACACACACTTCATGGGGTGGGTCCGTCGAGTTTTTTTTTTTGGTCACAAAAAATCCACGTGCATTAAGCAAGCAGAAACAAAAAACGCGAATACCGAGGGAGGGAGGGCAGAGACGTGGAATGGCAAAACAAAAGGGAGTGGAGAGCCCAATGGGAAAATAATTAGCAAAAAGGAACGACCGCGCAGTTATTGAATTTCTCCCAATTTTCAAGCTCCGTTAAAAGAGAAGACAAAAAAAAACAGTCCAGAGAAATTTTGTAAAGGCTCAATATCGATACAAAAAAAAATATTGATCGAGCGATAAAAGCTCTTTAAGAGGAAGAGAGAGAGCGGGGCTGGCTGCTATCCGTCATCTAAGTGCCATCTGCCTTTCAAAGCATACAAACTCACGATCTAAATTGGAAGTATTCCTTAGACGTCTGCTGATCGCAGGCAACGAATAAACAGCATGGAGGTAAGAGTGACGCTGTGTCACTCTTCAGACACAGGAAACGCAATTTATCATGAGAAGACATGAGACACTGGGTCATCATGGTAACTAAATAGACTTATTTGAACGGAAATTGCGGTGGGAGTATTTGCGAAAGTAAACACATTGAACAATTGAAGTTTTGTTAAAAATTGCCAATACCAAATGCCGTCACCTTGGCTTTGGGACATGAGAAGTTGGCACCGAAAAAGTATACCTGGAGTAGATAAGGCGAAATTTCAACACAACAGCCAGATAGGAATCCTCCCACGTTGTTTGGCCACAAAAACGCAACCAAATGAGAAATCGAGGATTGAGGAGGAGGAGGAGGCTTCAAGATCGAAAGTGGGAAGGTAAACAAAACGATTACCTTACAATTCAAAATTGCGCTGGGCATTCTCAAGGTAAAAAGCAATTAGGGAGTAATTAAAATTCACGGGATTTTGTGACCCCACCCTAAAGTAGACTTCTAATTGGACAAAAGTGGAGTGTAACATTGGGCACATTTTTTTGGTTTAACTCAAAGCTTTTAGAAGGACTGAGTTCAAGAGGAGAAGAAGAAGGACAACAAAATCGGCGAAAGACGAGACAAGAGGTAAGAGAGAGGAATGACGTCATTGTTAAAGGAAGAAAGGGAGAAGTCAATTTGGCCTCTTTCCGTTGTAATTAAAATTGTATCGCAAGAGTACGAAAGATATCTCTCTCTCCCTCTCTGCAGTCAACCTCTTTCTCTCTCACTATCTCCCTTTAATTTAGACAGCGATAGCGTAGTTCAACGAATTGATAACACAAAATCAATAGATATAAAAGGAGTGATCAAATGGGGGCTTTTAATTACATAAGCAAACTTTAATTAGATTGGTAAGCATTAGTGTATTAAGACATAATAGATTAATCTATTTCAGAAAGTATAGTTCTGCCAACTAGTCGAATGGACGATAAATCACCAACAGCAACGAACACTGATATACATCTAGTCATACATAACTCACGCAAACAATATGCCTACCCAGTGTTTATCAGCACTGATCTAACTACTTCCAGATCTCCAAAAGTGTCTTTCACTTTCAACGGATAAGACTAGCGGCCAAGAGATTTGGAAGGAAGCAGGAGGATAGAAGAGACTAAGAATGAGAAATCGACGTTTGGGTGCAACTTAAGTGTAATCGTATAGAATAGTTGAAGTCAGTCTACTAATTATGAACGAACGAATTGAGGCAAGCAAAATGAGATATTTGGATGATGCAAATGACAGTGGCGCATTATGCAAGTGCATTCCTCTCCCACCCTCCTCCACCTCCCCACCCCCCACCCCCACCCATCCCCCTATTTCGTTAGGAAGAGAGAGAGAGAGAGTGACAAAAAGTTGGCTTTTTTCATTAGACTAAGAAGAGAAGTTGAATAAAATCAACCAATTAGAAAAATAAGGACCAGATTACATCGCTAACGGAGAAGTACAATCAGAAATGGAATATTACTGCTGTAGACTTTGTACTAAAAAAAAGTTTTTTTCTTAACTGTAACGCTTAGCCATATAGCCATGGAGACAAACTAGGTACATGGGTGTGCGATAGACTTACCTCCACATAGTGGACCCTGGGCAACGTATACTCATATGACAAAAGGGCCTATAAACCGACAGTTGACTTCTCACTTCAAACTACCATGGCCCCACTGTATGTCATATTCCACTACTTTCACAGTACTCACCTTACCTTTTTCTCTATCAGTGTCTGTCTGTCTCTTTTGCATCTTTGAAACACTATTCTGTTCCCCCCCCCCCCTCCCGAATTCTTTTCACTTTGAAGTTCCTTCTCCCCTCTGTGAAGCCCGAAGTCAGCTAAAGAGCTAATGATAACTATCAAAACGCCTGCCATTTGATAGTAATAAATAAACTAGGCACTGAAATGTTAGAGAAAGTAAACAGAAAAAGACTCGAAGACCTCGGAGGGAGTACATCTTGACTAGAGCACATCTTAGTGGAGAACAATGATCTAAGTAAAAAAAGGCATAGTAGGACACATGGAAAGTCCGGTTACATTACACCCTACATTGCAGGTCATTCCAGTTGTGCAAATCTGAAACTCAGATCGGCCTAAATAGAAGTATATCTAGTGCACCAAACAACAATTAGATATAATTTTAAAATCACAAATGCTTGTTATTCATTAAATAGAGAGGAATAAAGGTATCGCGTGAACAGACGATACTAAACTCCACTTCTGCGTGATATAGAATCAGTAGAAATCGAGCTTTGTGACAGCGATAACCACCCCCCCCCCTCCCCACTGAAAAAGGTCCACTCTGGAGGACACTTGAAGTATCAACCAACTTTAAGACCAAAATGCTAACTCGTATTTAATATTGTGACTAAGAAATGGTTTTCGATTACGTGGAAAGGATCACTGATCAAATAGACCCAACCCCCCCCCCCCCAATGTCCAATTTTTGGGTGAATTAAGACTGAAATTCAATGGCCGTTCGAGAGGAAATAGGAGAAGGAGTATAGAATAAATAAGAAGGCAACATCAATTTAGTAACGAAAAAAGTTAATGACCAAATTTCCATTCTTTCTCATAAATCCTCTTTTAGAAAATTACTTTAGTAGGAGAGAGAACTAAGCAGAGCCAATGTAACTAAGCATTAAAAATGGGCTTCTGGTGAATTACACGCACATATGTATGCACTTCTCATCATGCTAACTCTTTTCATGCAAATTCTAATTGAGGAGCGCTTTTAGACCATTAAATTGGATAATTGATCTCAATCAAGTGATCCATTAAATCATAAACAAAAACACAGGAAGTTCGAAGTTAAGGCAGCCAAGATTAACAACCAAAATACTTACGCACTCTGTTTACATACGTGCTTATGCCTTTTTTGCGTGTGTGTGCTAAATGAAGGCATTCTCCTCTATAAACATACCCATTTCGTTCCAAGACATCTCGAGGAACGTGACAATTTACTCGCGCCTGTGTCCATAAAAAGTACGTTTTCGCAAAACGTATTTTACAACACACAAATCAACAATGCGTTGAAAGGAAGCGGTCTTCAAGCAGTGGAGTAGGTAAATCTGACCAAATTAATCCAAATCAGAGAGAGAAGGTAATGTGGATGATGGTGATGATGATGACGATGAAGGTAGTTCATTTTTTTAGAAGTAATTAATGCATATCTCCACACCGATAACGGCGTCAACATAGCCTAGACATGCAATTAACGCTACGTTGAGTAGAACGACCTAATTGTATGAAAAATTAATATTTTGAATTGTTTAGAAAGCGACAGGTACTATCTTATGGTAATTTTGATGGGATGCTGACATTATGATAGCCGGTTTTGAGCGAATCCAAGCCCCAACGCCTCTGACTCTGTAGCCACCCACATTTAATACTACCAATAAGCATTATTCTTTTGTCCACGCAACAACTGTCTCTAAAGTTGTTACCTTAATCACCACAGCCCTCTGGAACCTAAGTACCTAGACCTCAAAAGAGCACTCAATGCTGGGGTGACCTCGATTTTCCCACATAGAGGTACTCTATGTGTCCTCAATTAGTTTATTTTACTTAGTTCACGCCCTAGGGCCTTTTGGTAAGTGGGGATCTGCTACTATGATCGCGTTGTGAGCAAATGCGTACAGCAGTCAATTCTATGGTAGCAGGGCACAATTTTGATTTTACTTAATGACTAAGCGTGTTGGTAGTGCTTCAACACGCTCGTCGTCTAGACGGGTAAGTTCATCTCACTCTTCCTACTTCGATTTCTCAATGTGGATTCTATTAGTGCACACAATTAAAGTCGTATTTTAAATTTTTACAATTGTTGTTTTCTATGGTGAGTTGGTAGCATAGTTCTAGCTTCTAAAAGTTCTTCCTCATGATACTCGGAAAGACAAGATTATGTGCCGCGTTGCCCTCTTCTGGCTCTTTGCCTAAGAGCCACTACAGAAATGCCAAGAGTGAAGTGATGAAGAAGGACAGAGCGAGGGAGAACGATTGCTCTCTCTCTCTCTCTACACAAGCCAGCGAAGTAGCAGTCTTTCAAACTCATAGCATTTAATGGCAAATAAAAAAAACAACAACTTTCATGAAAGAAGACACCTAGCAATGGAGGACGGGAAATCAGAGTAGACACTCAATCAAAGAAGACACCTGAGTTGGAGTAAATGACAGAGGAAATCACCCCTGAAGCACTTTTAATAAGGACTCAATCACTCTCCGAGGCAATTTTCTTGGCGAATGGCGAAATCAATAGCAAAGCTTGAATTTAGACAAAGTGCATGAGAGAAAAACAAATTTTAATTAAGACACAAAGACGTGGGGAGGGGAGATGGAGAGGGAAAATGGAATGCGCCTTGTAGAGTGCATCAATCACATACGAAAACCAAGTCACTGAATTGAGTGTTTCGAGAAGAGAACTGGGAACTATTTAAGGGGGTAAGGGGATTCGAAATAAGCTGAAAGTAACTTAGAGAGGAATGAGAAGGTAAGTCAGAGAGCATTGGAATACTTCTTGGCTCTGAACATTTAGTCATTGATCAGAAAATATAAAAATGTGACGTTTGCTGACCTGGTGGACTTTATATTAGCCGATATGCAACCGCTGCACACACTTTTTTATAGATACGCACATTTCAAATATGGAGACTGGAAAACATGATTCACTCCAAGTGAATGGAAGAAAGATGCAACACGTGTGTGCGAGCGTGCGTGTGTGCGTGTTTATTTGCATAGAAATAGGCAGCAAAGTGCAATCATTTAGGCAAAATTCATGATTAAATCGCAGACGACGATTACTACAAAATTAAGAAAAAACGCACAACAACTTCTACGCGGCCTAGCATTCACTACTAGACATACATACATACATAAATCGCAGTATTCACCAAAAGCACTCTCAAGAATGGTAAAATAGGCTTTTCTGAAGAAAACTGTGGAAACTCATTGAAACTCAGACTCTGGGTCAGAAGTTCAGTGCAAAGTCAGACCTCAGGATGGCATGATATGTCATACTACTGTACGATCGAAAGCGGGAACTGCATAACAGAGGTCATGATAAATACAGCAAGATCTGGATACCTGGGGGGGGGAGTTATAACTGTAATCGCAACTAATCAAGTAATATTAGGATAATATGACGAGTAAGATCAAATATGATACTTGAAAAAAAAATTTTAATTGAGGAATTTACAGCAAGGTCCTTTCGCAGACTGGCTAGGTTTGCTAGGAGGGGTTGGATTGAGGGAATGACTAACTGCTGTGAATGAGATTGGGCAGGAGGAAGGTCTGTTGATCCGTAACCAGATTCACGACTCCTATTCTCCTCTTTTACGACGGTAGCGCTTTTATCAGAGGGATGAGAAGGTGCGGAGTGGGTCGTGTTAGACAAGGAATCAGCGAACCGCTTCAACTCTTCCTCAAATTGAATCGCCCTATGAAAATTTAAATATGCATTTAATAATATGGCGAGTAATTGTATTAGATATGAGAACGACAAATAATAGTAATTCGAGCGTTAAACCACACCTCCGTGTGTCTATCTCTTATTACACGATAAACTTCTGCTTTGTTTAAAGGAAGACCACATTTGGCAGCAGTGACAACCACGCGACGCGCGAAATCGCTCGTGACATCGTACATAATGTATTAAAGCGGACTTCCAATACGTAAGACCAATTAATCCCATCAAGTGAGGGCGCTTACTCTACTCCCCAATATAAAAAAGCGAAACTATCAGATGAAATTCAATCCCTTCATGCTTAACTACTGACGATAATATAATCACAGCCCCAAAGAAGTCAGTTATTACTACTGAATAGTGCTATAAGTAGAAGACAGTACTAAAGAATGACTATTTGGTAAGCAAATAGCTTAATGCCCCATTGCACGGCAAATATGGTTATCATGAGATGCCCAAAATCTACCATTTAGATGAAATGGGATGTCAGTAATAAATTCATAAGCCTTGTCAATCAGTAATAGCATTTTAGAACAGAGCCGAGCAGCTAATAGTTGCCAAGAGAAGTTTCTTAAGCTTGAAAAAGTAAGTAGAAGTATCTAATTAAATTAAACTAACTTCTCTTCTTTTATTAAATTTACAAAGATGATAGTAGAGTAATTCTCACAGAAATGAAGGCCCAAGCAGCGAAAATTATATGTAATTATTAAATAAGTCAAATTACGTCAAAATGAAACCCAAGATACCAATTAGGTAATGATGAATATCATATCAACAGGTGAAAATTAGCCAAAACTACAGAGCAACAAGAATATAAAAAAGAAAACAAAATTAGAGAGAAGAAAAAGGATGTTTGAATCAGTAAAAAACTCGCGGATAGTTAATTAATACGAATTACTTAATACCAAACAGTAAAAGCTTAAAATGACAAAGAAAGTATAGTTATTAAAATACAGTGACTAAAAACACACTAATTATTTTGAAATTTAGATAACTACTGTGACAGCATAGTTCAAAAACTCGTATCATTTGAGCAATGCGTAGAAAAAGTGCGCATTCCATATCAAGAATTAAACAAATTGAGCAAATGAAAAAGAGGGAAATTATATTTTAAAGGCAAAAAATAGCCAAAAGTAAACAATGAATTTGCAAACGCCGAAGACACAGAAAATCGCACTAGACTTGTTAGTTTGAAACAACCGAAAAAACTAGGGAAGACAAAACATAAGCATAAAAGCAATTTCGACAATGAGAGTAAGAGCACAGGAAGCATATTTAAATCTGTGCCCCTACCTTGCATTCGCAGACCTTAAAAATGCAACACAAATTATAAAGCCTAACTATCCAAACTTGGCGCATGCCTACGTACAAAAAATTCGCGTTGAGACAGACAAAATTCGGGGAACACGCTAACTTACCTTTGCTCCAGCTGCTTGGACAGATGAAAAAGCTGAGGCTCGTCTGGCATTTTTTCGTCCTGAAAAATTAATACACTGAAAAAAACAGTACGTGAAGATAAATAAAAACGAAGGCTCACCAACGTTAAATTCTGAGCCTTGCAAGAGGTTATCAATAAAATGAAATTAAGAAAAGAAAATATAACCTAAAGCGTAGGTAAGATGAACATAAGGAGGTAAACAGCGCCAAAATGTCGAGTAGAATAAAAAGAATCTAATAAAAAATATTTCAAACTAAGCAAAGAAAACCAAAAAAGGGTTGGCAATATAAAAGAAGGACCTCAAACGTCAAGCAAAGTCCATCAAAACTATAAACAAAGTAACCTTCAATTTAACATAAAGAATAAATACTAAATTATAGTTACCTAAGACAGAGCAACCGCCAAACACAGACTCACCGCAATGTAGCATTTACCGATACGCCGCTAGATGTTGATAAAATAATTCATGGAAATGGCATATATAAACAAAGTGTATTCAGTTATTATTTTTGAGTTTTTCAGTAAAATACTTAAAAAGTAATATATAAAAGACCTGAAAGAATATTTTCTTTTAAAGGCTAAAATTTATTTGTACTTAATTTACTCTAGTAAAAAATGGGTTCTTTCTCAATACCTAAGGAATCTAAATTAACACCCTTAACCCCTGCATAAACTCAAAATAAGTGAAATAATTCACTCGCATTTCAGGTATTGTCAAATTTGTATAAATAGTCTTCGAGGAAATATAAATAAAACGCTGATAATAACAAGTTTAATCTCGACTAACATACGTTCTGCTCTTTCTATAGATGATTCTGTCATTAATCATTTCTCTTTATTTGAATTGTTGCCATTATTTTATGATTAACTATATTCTGTGCTTCATAAAAAGCAAAACACCATTTTATTTAATTTTCAATAATTTTCCTTTGAATCGATTCCAAAATTTTTCTGAAGAGCATGGAGTTTTGCGCCTGCGAAAATTGAATTTGCCGTATGATATCTTTCAAATTGTTGCTTTATCCGCATCAGTAGTAAACTTTATGAAACTCTTGCTAGATCGGTGTGTACAGAATTCTGAAGCATTTTCCTTTTCCTTAGAGTTGTTCAGAATTCCATTGCAATTATTTATTTATATCAAATGGCAGGCTTTATGATAGTTATTATTAGCCCTTTAGTTGACTTCAGGCTTCACGGAGGAAGAGGAACATCAAATCCAAAAAAGTTGAGAGGGGGGTGAACAGAAGAGTGTTTTAAAGATGTAAAAGAGACAAACACAAAAGTGGAAAAAGGGTGACGTGAGTACTGTGAAAGTGGTCGAATATGACATTTAGTGGGGTTGTGGTAGTTTGAAGTCAGAAGTCAACTGCCGGCTTATACTTTTTGCCGCATGAGCCCAGGGTGCACCATGTGGAGGTAAGTCTATCGCACACCCCCATGGCAATTATAAACTCGACTGAATTTCTTTTAATCTAGAATAATACATTTTAAATTTCAACTGTTATAAGTTTGAAAGAATTCTCTTTTAATGTACTGGTGAAGTAAGTTCACGTTGAGCACAAGATTACCTGCAAATAATCCTCATTGTGGGTCACATTGTGGTGAGGTCGACTATTATTTGTTTGTTGTGTGAAAATTACATATTTAATGAATTTTAAACCAGTAAAAAGATTGATTCAGCTTTATTCAAATACAAGTGCAGACCAATAAACATTTTTCTAAAAGTGATAAGGCTTCGGTTTTCGATATCTCTAGATTAAAACGGTAACACAACAATTCACCCTATTGTTACTCCCTTTATAAGCAATTTTTCAAGAACTGTTAAGGTTTCATTACTTAAATTGTCTTTAACACTATAGAAAACGAACATTATTACTATATCAAATGGCAGGCGTTATGATAGTTATCATTAGCCCTTTAGTTGACTTCTGGCTTCACAGAGAGGAAGGTACATCAAATTGAAAAAAGTCGAGAAGGGAGGGGGAACAGTAGAGTGTTTCAAAGAAGTAAAAGAGACAGACACAAAGGTAGAATAATGGTGAGATGAATACTATTGAAGTAGTCGAATATGACATATAGTGAGGTGATGGTAGTTTGAAAAGAGAAGTCAACTGTCAGTTTTAATAGACTTTTTTGCCGTGTGAGTATACGTTGCTCAGGGTGCACCATGTGAAGGTAAGTCTATCACACACCCCTTTTTCAGAAACTAAATCATATGGTATGTTGTAGGCATTCGCAACATCTCTTAATAAATAATAAATACATCTTACATTTAATTCTGCTTTTATGATAAATCTGTGCATTAGATAATAAACGTTCATCTACATTTCATAGACATGGGGTGTGCGATAGACTTACCTCCACGTGGCGCACCCTTGGGAACGTATACTCATACGGCAAAAAGTCTATTATTCGGCTGTTGACTTCTGACTTCAAACTAACATGACCCCACTGTATGTCATTTTCGACCACTTCCATGGTACTCATTTTACCTTTTTCTCTACCTTTGTGTCTGTCTCTTTTACATCTTTAAAACACTCTTCTGTTCACCCCCCCCCCTCTCGACTTTTTTCACTTCGATGTTCCTCCTCCCCTCTATGAAGCCCGTAGTCAACTAAAGGGCTAATGATACCTATCAAAACGCCTGCCATTTGATATAAATAAATAACATTTCACAGACATTATTCTCTCAAAGCGGTCAGCTTAGTGTGATGTACCACTTGCAGTCAGCTTTGCCCCTTATGATTTCTCTTCATTATATTAACCTAGTGGGAAAACTTAATCACTTCATTTTTGAAAAATAATATATAGCTTATTATAGGAAAATTCATAGGGACACCATTAAGCCCTATTTTGCAGTATGTTTTTATTGATCAGTTTGGTTAAAATCTTTTCAGAACTTGGAGCTAAAATGTTTATAGAACATCTCAAGCATTTGTTTATCTGAATCTTTCCCAATATTTCTTATCACTCTCCTGTAATTTCTGTTTATTCTGTTGTTTAAAGATGAAAATTGAAGTCAGAAAGCAAATGACTTGACGAAATTGTAATCGCCATAGGAAGATTATAGAATGATAGATAATCAAATGGCCTCTGAAATCCTATCTCACAAAAGTTGTTGTAACTCAACTTGTCTCAGTCAAAAAATCTAGTGGCAAACCAAATATGCCACTAAATAGAACAGATAGGGAATGTCTTAATGTTGCTTCCTCCAGAGCTCATGAATCGGTCACCAAGTCCAGATAACCAGATAACAATTACACATAATCCAAAATCCATTTCGTTTGTTATCCTAAGTGGTCGGAATTAGTGGATTGCAAATACAATCGATCAGAGGAAGCCCATCTTGCTGAACCTATTTATCTTGTTAAAGGTCACTGCCCAAGATGCACGTGAGATTAAACTCTTTTTGCCAAAATCTTATATACTCTTAAACTAGCGTTGCGTTAACCCACTTTGATTTCAGTCTGCCTAATAATACTCAACAGACTACTCATCTTAATCTGACATATTATTTGTCAAAGTGGACTGGCGTTATGTACAATAAATTTGTCATAACGTTTGCTGTCGTCAACTGCCTCCTCATGGTATTCGCCACTCATGACTTACCAATAGTTATTATGTTTACAAATTGTACTTATTTTCTTTCTACTGAATTCTAGGACTTTGGATAGCTAGATTTTCACGCACATAAAGCATCTTCAGATTAAGTCGACAAGGGGATTAATTGGAAAAAGATCAATTTATTCATTACAATAGTCAACTTTAGTAACCACAAACTGCCCACAATTGACTGGAAAGATTATAGCTAAACACAAAAAATCTATAACTCTAATTTTATCCATTTTGGTTAAGATTACCTTTCAAGATGGTGTTTACATTATGTGCCAATACAAAACTTTTATCGGTAAAACAAGGCACAATTCTCAGATTTAAGAATAATAGATTTCGAGATTCGTTAAAACGAATTATTCAAAGCTTCACTTAGCTCTATCATATTGTTGCTTGATTAATCTTTGAATATTTCCGAACTTCATAGCAAAGCTATTAATGAAATAAATGAAAATCATTTATTTATAATATAAAAAGGTGAAGACACATCAAAATTGACAGTACATCAATCAATGGTTATAGTAATTCATTTGTAGAGGCTAATTAGTTCATCAGAATTTCATTTAAAGGCTATTAAAAGGAAAACATTGATCGGCAAAAAGTATATATATATATATATATATATATATATATCAGTAAAATGGAAAGAAAACATTAGATAATTTTAGCAAATGAACAAGTTTCTGAAATACGAAATAGTAAAGTGCATAAGCGGAGCTAATAAGACAAGGAGAAGGCTAGATATAAGGTTAATAAATAGGTTTTTAATTCTATTGATATAAATTAACTTTAACTTCAAAGTTCTTTTAAAAAATTAGAGACCATTATGACGAATATAATATGGTTATCATGAAAGAATGCTTTAATTCTGAACTGAAAAGGTTCTCTTTTGAAAACGATATTATATCTTGTTTTAACTAACCTCTGCATATCGATCATGAAGGACGCAACCATAAGCATTTAAGTCAAATTCAGCGTCTTGGTTTTACTCGATAGTTCTACGTCGATCATGGGCCGCAAATTGTTCGTTGGTGGAAATTGGAAGATGAATGGGAGTTTTAAACATATTGATGAGTTTTACGGCCACATAAAAAGCCAAAAAACCGATGACGATGCTGGTAATATCATTTTCTCAATGGAAATATGGCTTTAGAAATTGTTATTGGCATGCCTGCCTGCTACATTAAATACGCTCAGGAACACGCACCAAAGCAAGTAAAAATTGCTGCTGAGAACTGTTATAAGGCTAAATCTGGGGCATTTACTGGCGAAATCAGGTAATTTGGACGTTGCTATGGTTAGCTTTATACCTTGTTTCACTAGTTATTCATGTTTGATTTTCTTAGCCCTGAGATGATTAAAGACTGTGGTTGTGAATGGGTTATTCTTGGTCATTCTGAGCGGCGTCATATTTTTGGAGAGTCAAATGAGCTTATCGGTGAAAAAGTTAAGTTTGCTCTTGAATCAGGCTTAAAGGTTATTCCATGTATCGGTGAACTACTTGAAGAACGTGAAGCTGGAAAGACGAATGAGGTCTGCTTCAAACAAATGGAAGCCATCGCCAGTAAGTCATCAAATTAACGCAATTTTACAATATTTATATCTAATCTAACTTGTAAAATTCACTTCAGAGAACGTCCCTAGCAAGGAAATGTGGAATAAAGTTGTCATTGCCTATGAACCTGTTTGGGCTATTGGAAC